AGGCAGGGGGAGCTGTGCTGCACCCGCTCAACTTGCACATGAAACATTTCGTCAAGGAACTGGGTGAGCTGCCACCCCTTCCTGCCACCCAGGAGTTCATTTTCTTTTCCAAATAGTCCTCCTGTATCGTTGCCCGAGAATTCCTCTTCTTCTCCCAATATCCCTCCCTGATAGCCCCTCCATAGCCTTCCCCAAGAATTCCCCTTCTTTTCCCACTATGCCTCTCATATCCTTCCCCAAGAATTATTCTTCTCCCACTATTCCTCCCATATCCTTGCCCAGTATCCCCCAAATGACCTTTCCAATAGTCCTCATACCCTTCCCAATAATTCCTCTTCTTTTCCCCATATCCTCCCGCAGTATCCCCCAAATAACCTTTCCAATAGTCCCCATATCCTTTCCCAATAGCTCTCTATATCCTTCCTCAAAAATTCCCCTTCTTCCAATATCCTTCCCATATCTTTGCCCAATATCCCCCAAATAACCTTTCCAATAGTTCCCATATCTTTCCCCCATAGCTCCCTATATCCTTCCCCAAGAATTCACCTTTTTCTCCCAATATCCCTCCCATATCCTTCCCCAATATCCTCCCCCCGTGGTAACCCAGCCCTGCTCCAGGCAAAGGAAAATCCTATCCCAAAGGAAATGGGGCCCTGCTCCCCCTGGGTGATCCATCAATGCCATCAGAAGGGTCCAAAAGTCACCACAAATCACTCCCTGGCTCTTGCTCAAGAGCTTAATTCCCCTTTCCTCACCAATCTTCCGTTGCTCCACGTGATAAGGTTGTCTCAGGAAGTTCAAGTCGAGGTGTACCAGCTCTTCCTTTCCCTAAAAGACCTTTCTCCACCCTCTTCCCAAAGGCCTCTCAGTTGCCCCAGCCCAGGGCAGCCTTGCAGGTGTTTACAACGGGGAGGAATTCGTGTTCCAGGAGAGTAGGTGGTACCTCCTCAACCTGCTCAAGCTGCTCTGGCACTATGGGCTCAACCCCCTGCGCATGTCCATGTGGGTGGAGGACATCCTGGACAAGTTCATGAGGTATGTCAGGCCCTGATGGTGGGAAAAGTGGGAAAGGAGCTTAAAAACATCCCATCCTACCCCTCCTGCCATGGGCAGGGACACCTCCCACCAGCTCAGCATGCTCCAAGTCCCTGGGCTGGAACGCTTCCAGGGATGGAGAAGCCACAGCTGCTCTGGGTAACATGTGCCATTATCATCAAAAAATTCCCTGTGAACTTGTCTGGTTTAGTTTGAAGCCATTCCTCTCGTCCTGGCACTCCATCCTGCTGCTCCCACGTCTGGTTTAGTTTGAAGCCATTCCCCTTGTCCTGGCACTCCATCCTGCTGCTCCCACAGAGGGCTGAGAGCCACCCCATGAGATGCCCCAATCTTCCCAGGGTCCCTGAGATAACTAACAGCCATTCCCTGTCTTGATTTGAAGGATCTATCGCTACCAGATGCATGACTATGCCTTCAGCAGCAACGAGCGCCTGCTCCACGCCCTGGGAGGGAATGACTTCACCAGGATGCTGAACCAGACCATCGATGAGATCATGCAGCAGGCTGGTTTCTCCCAGAAGTTCATCAATGAGGTGGTGTGTCCAGTCATGAGGGTTAATTATGGGCAAGGTGTCAACATCAATGGCTTTGTAGGTGAGTGTTTTCCTATTCCTGGCTGTGCCAAGACCCTTTGTGTTCTTCACAAGATTCTTGCTCCCAGGACTCCAAACTTCACGTCCCAAAGGGTTTTTTATTCCCCATCGTTTTCCACTTGGCTTTTCCAGTGCTTCCCTACGCGATGAGGCCGAACAAGGTGCTCTACTGAGGGTGTTGTCCTTGCAGGTGCTGTGTCCCTGGCCGGGGCACAGTCAGGGCTCTGGTCTGTGAAAGGAGGGAACAAACTGGTCTGCACTGGTCTCCTCTATGCCTCCAAGGCTGAAGTTATCCCTGGAACAGTCGTGTCCATAGAGCCAAAAGTCAGACCCAACCCCAGAGGTGAGTGGGGTTGGATTTCATCTTTGGTGGTGGGAAGGGGAAAGGCAATGCTGAAGACCAACCTCAGCCCCTTGGCTGCACCTCCTTGGGCTTTTGGGATGGGAATTCCTCCCTGTGAGGTGGTGAGGCACCCAGAGAAGCTGCTCCATCCCTGGGAGTGTTCCAGGCCAGGTTGGATGGAGCTTGGTGGGAGGTGTCCGTATGGTAGAGGGTGGAATGGGATGAGCTTTAAGGTTCCTTCCAACCCATTCCAAGATTCCATGAAAACACGGCTCAAACCCCAACGGACAGCCAAGCTGGTCCTGGTTGATCAACCCAGAGGAGGTGGCAGTGTAAAATTCCAGGGAGAAAGGGGATTCCCTCCCAGCACGGGGAGGGATAACGAGCTCTTCCCGCAGGGGACCCCGTGAAGCTCTACTACGTCACGTACAACACGTCCTCGGGGCTGACGGGAGACACGTACGACATGGTGGTCATCGCGGCTCCGCTCGGCCATAGGATGGCCAACATCACCTTCAGGAACTTTGAGCCTCCCATCCCCGAGTTCCCCAACCCTTACCACCAGACTGTCACCACCTTGGTGCACGGACGCTTAAACGCTTCCTTCTTCGGCTACCACGACCCACAGGCCTTTCACTTCGGGGCCATTTTCACCACGGAGAACCCCAAACTCTTCATCAACAGCCTCGGGGTGGTGTCTCCTGTGGGAGATGTCAGTGGGGACACCAAGTTGGCTTTGCAGTCAGCCATCTGGAAGGTGTTCTCCAAGGAAGTGCTGACCAAGGAGCAGCTCAACTTATTGTTCTCCTCCTACGACTCGGTCAAGGTGAAGCCGTGGTTGGCGTATCCCCACTACAGCCCCCCAGAGAAGTGTCCTCCCATCATCCTCCACGACCACCTGTACTACCTGAACGGGCTGGAGCGCGCGGCCAGCGCCATGGAGCTGAGCGCCATCGCCGCCAAGAACGCGGCGCTGCTCGCCTTCCACCGCTGGCACGGCCACACCGACAAGGTGGACCAGGAGGATCTTCACGAGAAGCTCAAGACAGAGCTCTGAGTCTCACCCAGGGCCAAGAGCAGCCGTGGAGAGATGGAGCTTTGAGCTGTAATTAGCACTAACAAACAGGAGCTTTGTGCTTTGCCACTCTGAGGGGTTTTGTAGGATCGTGGGGTGGGTAAGACCTTCAAGATGAAGTCCAACTGTCACCTCTAAGTGTGTCCCCAAGGGTCACATCCACACAGCTGTTAAATCCCCCCAGGGATGTGACTCCAGCAGCTGTGCCAGGGCTGGAAAACCCTTTCCATGAGGAAACCTTAATATCTCATCTAAACCTCTTCTGGTACAACTTGAGGCTGTTTGGCCAACTCAGGATGGAGCAGGACAGCAGTGAGGTGACCCAGGAAGTATTCCCAAGCAAGCCAGAAGTTTCCTCAAGCAGATTCCTCTGACCTTTTCCCCAGACTCTTCCTGTCTGAGATTTGGGAAGTAATTTAAAAGTGCCATATTATCCCCAAAAGTGTCCTGCCCAACTCAGGGTCCCTGTGAAGCCATGCACATCCCATCCCCTCTCCAGCTGGGAATATTGATTCCTTGACTGTCCATCTCTCCTGCCTCACCTGTTTTCCAAAGGGTCTATCAAGTCATTATTCCTCAGGGTGGAAACTGGAGCTTCATTTGCTTCCCAAAGTGTCCTGCAGCTTATGGGAGGGTGGGGGGAGTGTTCTCAGAGCTGCCAAAAAGGAAAGCCATGAACATCCATGGTTTTGTTGGGATGTGAAGGAGTTAATAAAGGAATCTGTGACCTGAGCACATGGCTTCTGGTGAAAGACTTCTTGGGAGAGTAATCCCTTGCTGTGCTTACACCCTGTACTTCATTCCCAGCAGGACAGACTTCCCAGATGGGGAACACTGGGAAACCAGCCCAGGGGCTGGACTGGAGGTGTTGGATGACCCATGGGGATCACTCCAGGCAGGAATGATAATTTTTTTGGGTGAACCCATTGTACTTCTGCCCCAAACTGTGTCCTGACACCCTCAGCATGGTGAGGAAGTTCCCAGTGCCTTGGGATGGAAAATGCAGGGACAGAACAGCCCACAAGGACCTGTGAGTGGGCACAAACCCACCCAAAACTGACCAGTTTCTCCCAAATTTCCACTTAGGAGGAAGCTCCAAAGGGTATTCCCTCCAGTTCAGCCCTTAGGCACTTTGACTCCTGCACCACAACTCCAGGATGCAAAAATAAAGCTAAAAGTAGAGTTAAATACAAATTCCTCCAGCCAGCTTAGCACAAACACTCTACATCCCAGTCCCAATGGGAATTTTCCCCTTCTCCTGCTGACTCCCACCCAAGAATCCCTTGTTTTCAATCCCTCAAGTTTTCCTTGAGTTTTCCAAGGACTGGGAGCGGCATTAGCTGGCAAAAAACTAAGACAAGGATGAGCTGACTTAGGTCAATCATTACAAAAAGGTATTTAATAACAAAAAGATTATTGTACACTCAGGGCATTGTCTTGGGTGAGGAAACAGAACTGGTTTGGGTTTGGATCTGGGATTTTCCAGGATCAGACTCGCTCCAAAGCTTCCAGCATGATGATGCTGTTCCCTCGGATCACCTGAGAATGGAAAATGGAGAGTGCAGTAGTTGTTAGCTCAAATTTTGGGGGTCCACACCTAGGGCTGACCAGTCCTCCCAGTCCCTCCAATCCCCCTAGTCCTTCCCCACCATGCTGATGTTCTGCTGCCCACCCAGTACCATCTTCATGTCCACAACTGGGACATGAAGTCCTCTCAGTCCTCTCAGTCCTTCCCACTGTTTCCCAGTCCCTCCCACTGCTTCCCAGTCCCTCCCAGTCCCTCACCACCATGCCGATGTTGTTCTGCTGCCCTCCCGGGGCCATCTCCACGCACTCATCGATGACCAGGTTCATGAAGGGGTCGAAGCCTCGCAGGATGCCCTGCACGTGTCGGCCCCCGTTCAGCTTCACTGCAGGGGACAATGGGGTTACAGAGGGGAACCCCCAAATGCAGAGGATTCTCCCCAAAACCACAGCTTGGGAGGGTTGGGATACATGGGAGGGGTTCAGTGGGAAAGGTTTAGTGCAGCCCGTTTGTGGGGTGAGGAAAAATGGAGTTTGGAATGAGTATGAAATTAATGGGTATGGGTTACATTCATGGATTGTGGTTTTAATTAGTGGATTGTGAGCACTGAAATTCATCAGGCATTGCTCTGGGTGGGCTGGGCAGGAGCAGCAGCTGCGACCCCCCAGCAGCTGCTGGGTGGGGGTCCTCAATACCTGACCCTGTGAGAGGATTGGGGGTCCCCAATACCTGACCCTGTGGGGGAATTGGGGGTCCTCAATACCTGACCCTGTGGGGAGATTGGGGGTCCCCAATACCTGATTCTATGGGGGTACTGGGGTGGGTGGGGGTCCTCAATACCTGACCCTGTGGGGAGATTGGGGGTCCCCAATACCTGACCCTGTGGGGGGATTGGGGGTCTCCAATATCAGACCCTGTGGGGGGACTGAGGGTCCCCAATACCTGACCCTGTGGGG